ATTTGACACGGCGTTGAGTAAATGGTCTTCCATGAAGCGCTTGGACAACGTGGAAGCTTCGAGATCAGGCTCAGAAATCAGCCTTGCGGAATCTTTCAAGCACAGAGTGAATCAGGTGAAAAGAAAATTTAAAAAAAAAGAAGAAAAAAAACACATACACACAAAGTATGGGATTTTTGAGACAGTTTTGTTTTGCAAAAACATTCGCGACGATCTTGTGGAAAAATTGCGCATGGGATATTCATCATTTCACTCTCGAAAAATATTTTTCTTGAGAAAATTTTTTTGTCCCTACATATAGGTTGCAATCTGCGGTTTTTTTTTTTGCCCAAAAATTATGCATTCGACGAAAGGAATTTCTAAACGTTTTTCATGAATGATTTATTTGCCTGCTTATATTTTGAGAATATTTGATGTGCTCAGATTGAATTCCGGCCGAAACAAAACGAAAGAATTCGAAATTTCCGACGCACGATTTCATACGAAAATCGTTTGTCGAGAAACCGGAAGAATTTCTTAAAACATCTCCATATTTTTTTTTCGAATTCACGTATTGTCTTTCTTCCTATATTTGTGGCACAAAAAAACGTGGTTGTGCTCAAACAGACTGAAAATTGACAGAATTGATGTAAAAATCATGAGTCAATCCCTGCAAAAATTATACAGATATAAGAAAGTGAAAGAATTCCTTCATTCGTTTTCAATGAATTTTATATTTTTCTCGAAATAAAAAAAAAAAAATTTGCATCTGTCATCAGCCAAAAAGAAATAATCTTCTACTGGTTGATGAAAATGCACCAATTCAGTATGAAAATTGGAAAACCTGCGATTCTTGACGTAACATCACATGAGAAAAAGTGATGCAAACAAAATAAAAATTTCCTAATTTTTATTTTTTACAAATTCTTCTCCTTTTAAGTATTTGCAACGAGGGCTGAAAGGTGTCGACACTGTGAGGAAACTCAAGAGCCAAATCTGGACATCAGTCGTCACTGTTGTCATAGTTGAGGCGAATGACTTGACTCCACGGGATCAAGATGGAATTTTGGACCCATATTGCAGATTTCGGTGAGAGAAACAAAGAAATTTGCGATGATGCAATTTTTGGAAGTGATTTCCTAAAATGCTTTTAAAAGTCTGTATCGTATTTGAGTTTGTAAACAACTCCAGGTTTCATGCGAACATATTTTTTAGGCTTTTGAAAATACGAAGCGATAAGATCTAAAAATTTTGAAACTTTTAATTTGCAGGCCGAAATTAGTTCACTTTGTTTTCGTTTTTTTAAAAGGTTTCAAGATTGATTAGGGTTTTCTTCGCAATAAACGGAATAATTCCGTTGAGTGAATATTGACGTCAGAGAACTTCCAGCAAATTTTTTCATTTTTTCATCTAGATGAAATGCTGCCCATTTTTCGCACAACCACAATTGTACAATATTTGTCATCACAATATTTAAAATTAGTTTTGCTGATCTTGAGTCTTGTCTAACTGCCTTCTTTTGAGATTTACTCGCCTATTAAATGTAATTATCGCATAATGTAGAAATTATAAGTTATAGTAATGGCTGAGCATTTTCTGCACCCGCTGTTCAGGTAGCGACATCTGTCCGAGTTTGAGAGTGAATTTTTGATGTAGAATAGCTGTTTGAAGATTCCATTTTTCTGCTTTCACAAAAATTTATAAATCTGGGATATTCTTTTCAACAGGATGGGAAATGAAGAGTACAGGAATCGGATACAAATGTTAAATTATAGTAATGGCTGAATATTTTGAAAATCGTAATTCTTCGAAGCAGGCAGCGTAACGAAGAAGCGACATCTGTTCGAATTTGAGAGTGAATTTTTGATGTAGAACAACTGTGCGAAGATTCCATTTTTCTGCTTTCACATGAATTTAATAAATCTGGGATTTTTTTCCAACAAGATGCGAACTGAAAAGCACAGGATCAGAATAAATATTATAAATTATATTTCGTAATGGCTTAATATTTTATGAATCGTAATTCCTCGTAGCAGGCGGCGGATCAAGTAGCGACATCTGTACGAGTTTGAGAGTGCATTTTGTAATGGAAAAATGCTTTTCACGAATGTATTTTTTCCCTGCTTTTAAGTGAATTTACGTGGGAAAACTATTTTATTTTTTTTACAGGATGGGAAATGAAAAGTACAGGACGAAATCTATGCCGAAAACAACGGCCCCCAAGTGGCTGGAGCAGTTTGATCTCCATTTGTATGATGATCAATCCCAGCTACTTGAAGTCACTGTCTGGGACAACGACCCCAGAAAAGACGAAATCCTCGGCAGGTAAAAAACAACATTCTGTCGACTTCATATTACAGTCAACCCCCGTTTAATGGACTTGATTTGTGCAAGGGACAAGTCTGTTAGACAAAAAGTCCTTTACACAAATTCAATTGCATAAAAAATTTAAAATTTCAATTTTCAACACTAATTTCAAACCAGCAAAAGAAGTCTGTTTGGCGGATTTTGTCTGTTGGGCAGGAGGAAAAACTGCTTGCAGAGCTGGTCTGTTTGGCAAAAATCCCTTACACGGGAGGTCTGTTAGGCAGGGGGCCACTGTATTCTTTCGGATGCATGTCGCTTTAAATACCCAGTGTTTATAGATATTGGATATCAATTTTGTTGAAACAGATGCACAATCAATTTGTCCGAACTGGACAGAGAAACAACGCACAGGATCAAGAAGAACTTGGAAGAGGGCTCAGGAAGTGTTCTCCTGCTTTTGACAATCACCGGAACTACGAATTCTGAAACAATTTCCGACCTTGCCGCTTATCAACAGCAGCAGGTTGAAAACGAAAGAGAAGAGGAGTACAGATCTCGACGATATGTAAGTTTTTTTTAATATTTTGAATAATTTCAATGTAGTGTATATTACATTTAAATGCTCTGTAAACTTCGGAAAATCTAATTGAAATCCTCAGAATCCCTTTTGCATTTCCTGAAAGTTTTTTTTTTCCTGTTGCTCCTATATACATTCCTTATGAGCAGATTTTGTACTTCTTGAAATAATTTTTGAAGGAATGGTCCCAAATTTTCTGAAAACCCCTGCGTATTCTTCCGCAATTTTTTTTGGCAAATAATTAATATCCTCGTGTTTATAATTTCCGAGAATACACGAGTTTTTTGAGCATCTTTCAAAAAATTAATTGTCGTTAATTGAAATTTCTGGATGGAATAAAGGGTGAAAAACGGAATTTATTTAATTTTAAAAAAATGTACTACGGCCGTTTTTGAGTATATTGAGCATTTCTTCTTTAGTTTTTTTTTTCTCATATTCTTTCTGAATCTTTTGTGCAGCGATTTTTATCTTTTGATGCTTTGAATAATCATCGCAGACGAGTGTTGCTAAATTTTCTCGAACAACCTGTTCGTGGTTCTACCTTTCCTTTTGGCAATAAATCCGGAGCTTCGTAATTATACAAATTGCTAAAATACGTAATTTTTGATTTTCATTCAGCGAATTATCGTATATTGAAGTCGCTTGAAATAGAATGAAAAGCTCAAATTACTGTATCTCAATTTATGAATTTGAAAATACAGTCCTGTAAAATCCAGGTTCTGCTTATTTTTACACTCGACATTTGTGTAGATTTTTTGAAATTTCGTGTATGATTTTTTTTCATCTGATTTTATTGCACCAATTGTTAGCAAAAATGATGTCGTAAATTTTCTGGGCTATTGATCTTGTTCTTTTCCCTTTGCGGAAACAAACTCAAAACTTCATATTTTTATTGCTATAGTTCACTAAAATGCACACGTTTTTGAAATCAAAGTGTATCGCTGTGAATTGAAACTCCTGGGAACAGAAAGAAAATACAATGACGAGAAGAAACATGTATTTCTCGAACTCGGGAAGAATCCTTTTCAACGCGTCGTTAAATGAATTTGCAGAGCATTCTCCGGACTTGGCACAATGTCAAAGACGTGGGTCATTTGACAGTCAAGGTGTTCAAGGCCCAGGGACTAGCAGCAGCTGACCTCGGAGGGAAAAGTGACCCTTTCTGCGTGCTGGAACTAGTGAATGCCAGACTGCAGACCCAAACTGAGTACAAAACCCTGAGCCCCAACTGGCACAAGATTTTCACATTGTAAGGCTTTAAAAAAACCTGATTTTTTTATTAATTATCATTTTGACAGTTTCCCTCAACCTTTTTGGGCCTGAGGACTGGAAAATTTCCATGAAATTTTTTTTAGGGCCTTCAAATTTCCAAAAAACAAAAATTTTCCGACCAGCAAAGTTTTATAAACTTTTTCCAGCCTCAAAAAAGCTTTGCTTGAAATACTTCATAGTATAAATATTAAACCCTTGGATGGTGGAGGGTTCAATTTAGTTCGTGGTAGATTTAGTCTGAATGATCTAAATAATTTCGTAGGAATCCATGTTGAAGTATTCGATTTTTTTTTCAAACCCATCCAATTTCGTAAACATGGCAATTTGATGAAACACTGAATAGGTGTCGCCTGAATCTCATGCTTGAAATTAATTTGATCTATTTTAGTATATATACGGCGTAACCTTTTATTTAAATTATGACTGATATAATGTTTTGCGTTGTTCGAAAAGGTTTGTTTCTTCAGTTTTACCGATCAAGGTGACACACGTTGATTTTTTAAATGTGTATAGGAATTTCAAATGCATTTTTGGGCCTATCTGCTGTGGCGAAAGACTATACATGCAGGGATGTTCTATTCGTGCTTTTTCTTATATTTCAGTAACGTGAAAGACATTCATTCCGTCTTAGAAGTGACAGTTTATGATGAAGATCGGGACAACAAAGTCGACTTCCTGGGAAAAGTGTCCATTCCTTTGCTTCGGATCCAAAACGGAGAAAAGAAATGGTATGCTTTGAAAGACAAAAAACTAAGGAGGCGAGCAAAGGGCACAAACCCGCAAATCCTTCTCGAAATGACAATCATATTCAATCCAGTGAGTTCCACGAATTTTTTGAATTATTGGCGAGGTCTCGATATCGCGAATTTCAGATATTGTGGATAGGTGTCGCCTGAATACTAATATCTTACTTTTCTCTTGGTGGGAAATATCAGTTGATTCAGTTTTTATACAAGGCTGAAATTCCAAAAGAAATGAATGTTTCCGCAAAATTTTAAATAAAATATGCACACAGAATNTAGAGGTCTTTTTGATTCCGTTCGCAGCGTTTTCAACTTCACTATCCCGTTTTTGTCTTGGTTGGCCATATTCTTGCTGTGTCTGGTTGCTCTGGTTCTGTACGTGGTTCCTCTGCGGGCAATGATATTCATCTGGGGGGTTCTCAAGTTCACCAAGAAGCTTGTGAGACCTCATGCTCTCAACAACAATGAGATCTTAGATTTCATTTGGCGGCTTCCTGATGGGGAACAACTGGTAAAAATGCATCTTTTATAGCCTATAAAATTCCTTTGATTATAATCAGTTATAATTTCGAGCATTCCATGAATGCAAGCGGCTGTCCTCGGCGCCGCTCTGCTCTAGACTAGAGACATCTATGGGAAAGAAAGATTTGCAAGCACGAGTAGACCAAAAGTAGTTTGCCATCTCTCATACAGATGACGCCCATTGTTTTCATCTCTCGTTTCTCCACTTAAAAAATCCGTTCTTCTGAAAACCTACGAACGTTTTGAAGTTACAGCATTTCAGAACTCGTCGTTATGGTAAATGGAAAATGTTATTCTCACATCGATCTGAAGAAGACCGAAAGTGTCAGTTAAACTTAGTTGCATATAGATGTCTCTCCTTGAGCTGACAATGTTCTGTCCTACATTTTACAGGTGGAATACAGAGAACTGAAGCTGATTCCCAGAGTGGATTCCGACAAAAGGAAGGACAACAAGAAAAGTCACAGGAAACCTAACACATGATCAATTTGATCTCTTTTTCATGTTCTTAAAGGGGAAAATCAGTTTCCTTCAAAATGTGTGACAAAAGTTTCGTTTCTGTTTCAAACATTATATAGTCATGCGGGAAAGGAGTGGCATCTCCTTTCTGATTCTTCAAAGAATCACCTATCAATAACTTTGCAGAAATCCTTAATTTGCAGACATGCAAATCAGCCAAACTTCCAAATTTCTATCAGTCAAGATTTAGTTTTTCCATGTTCAGTGGATTATTTGTGTTTTTAGCTGGGTTGCGGTCAGTTTAAAAACAGGGCAGTTTTTGTTTTCACATGACTCAGAGGATTTTTTCTTGACTTTTTGTGGGTTGACGTTGTTTTGCTGGCCAACAACCGAAAATTGCTTTAAAATTGAGTCTTTCTCCAAACAGATTATTTTTGCAAACATTGCGAATAACTTCGGAAGAAGTTGTTTTCTCATCTATATTAGCTGCTTATCGAAAAATGTTTTTGAAGATCGTTTCAAAATGAGCTAAGAAAATTTTAAGGTGCCAATTCAAGCACAAAAATATTTGAAATGTTTTTATCG